CTTCAAGTATTTCTTCGGCGTGAGGTTTGAGGTGAAGGGACTGGAGAACTTCAAGGTGGAGGGCCCTGCTATCATTGTGTCCAACCATCAGAGCATCCTCGACATGATGGGTGAGAAGCTGCTGGGAGGGAAGGGGCATTTTTGCTGCTCACCATTGGAGAATCCTGATTGTACCTCCTGGACAACCAGCTTGTGCTGCTGAACAAGCTGGTCCAGCTTTCCCATCAGTGCTGCTTGTGGGAAGGAGAAGGGTCTCCTGTCACTCTGAGCAATCCCCCACCTGTGCAGCAGCACAGGTACTGCTGTCCTTGAGGTGCTTCTCAGCTCCCTGTTACGTCCCTGCCTTGCTGGCTGGCCCAGCACATGTRTTGGTAGCCCTGCTGGGCTCCCTGGGGCTGGGGAGTGAGCTGCCTCTGGTGGGCCCTGCTGTCACACTCTGCTGTGTGCCAGGCCTGCTCTGCTGATGGCAGCAGAAGCCAGCAGAGAAACAAGGACCCATCCTGTCCCTGGTACCCCTGTCCTTGTCCCACCTGAGTGCAGGCAGGGGGGGTGACAGCTGGGTCTCGCCCTCTGCCATCCCATTAGGGCTGATGGAGGTCCTGCCCGACAACTGTGTCCAGGTGGGCAAGAAAGAGCTGATGTACACGGGCACCGTGGGGCTCATCACCTACCTCGGCGGCGTCATCTTCATCAACAGGAARAGCACCAGCAGTGCCAAGATGGTGATGTCAGAGGTGGCCAAGACTATGGTGGCTGAAAACGTGAGTGTCACTGTGGTGCTGGGTGGGGTGGCATGGGGGGTTGTGGCACTCCTGGTGYTGGCTCACCCGGAGTTCCAGCCACCTGCAGCTCTTGGCAGAGCTGGCTGGTGGCTCCCAGCACTGTGAGTGGATTTCTGGAGCCGAGCCTTGTCTCTCCATGTGCAGGTGAAGGTGTGGGTGTACCCMGAGGGCACGAGGAACTGCACTGGGGATTTGCTGCCGTTCAAGAAAGGAGCATTTCACATCGCTGTCCAGGCACAGGTAACGGTGCTTTGGCCCTGAGTGCTTCTGCAGTGGCTTTGCTGGGGCTGTGTGGTTTGTTTGCTCTTGGGTGAGCTGTGTGCCCAGATAGCACCTGCTCAGGTAATGCACTATTAGGTGTGCTATCAGAAGTGCTGCCCAGCAGCAGCCAAGAGCATTTCCATCCCCTCTRGGAATGACCTGACCCTGGGGATGAGTGGCTGCAGGCAGTGAAGAGCTGCCCTGTCCTCTCTCCTGCCTGTCCCAGTCCTGATGTCCCCTCTGGAGGGAGGAGTGTGAGGGACAGGCACACTTTATCCCTATCTCCAGGCTTTCCTGTCAGCATGGCAGGGCAGTGCCTGTGCCCAGGGGTTCCTGGAGGCATGGCTGCAGCCCAGAGCTCGCTCCTGGCAGGGAGCCCAGCGGGTGCTTTCCTGGGGAAACCCAAAGCTKTTGATTCATTTCTCAATCCCCCAGGTCACAATAGTGTAGCAGTGATTCAGGATTGTTAATGCTTGTTCTTTAGAGCAACATCTGGGCTTGCTCTGTGTGAGAAGAGCTGCTGCCTCCCTGGCAGCCATATGGCAGTTCTTGGTATGTCTCTTCTCTCCAAAATGACAGCATCCATGAGCAGTTAGTGGAGGAGYAGGCAAACAGCTTCAACCAGCCAGAGCTGTCCCAGGAGCAGGGTGCTTGCCTGAGCAGGGTGCTTGGGCAGTGTGCCAGGGACTGGGATGACCCAAGGCCTCGGGGGAAACTGGTTTCCCCAGGAGAGGTGTTACAGCAGGGATTTTGGGMATGGGAAGGGTGCCAAGCCCAGGGTGCAGTCTGTGTTGTACCATCCCCATTCCTGCCTGGGTGATGCAGCCAAGGCAGAGCCTGGCAGCTGCTGGAAGGAAAGGATGACAGTGGCARTGTCCCCACCTCTGCTACACCCCCCTGAGTCACTGACTGTGGATCCTGGCTGTGTTACCAGCACTGGAACAACTACTCTGTGCCTGCCCTCCCAGCCCTGGCTCTGTGAGAAGCTTCCCCAGGAGCAGTTGATAACAACTGGTGATTCCTTTTCTTAGAAACTGGAWGAGCAGCCACCCTGCCCCAGACACGTGCCTGTACAGCAGGCAAGGCGTGTCAGAACAGGCATCCTGCAGTGTTTATTTGCAGGACAGAAAATACCTGGGGTTTGAAGCCTCACTTGGGACAAGGAGCCCTAACAACCAGTGCTGAGCTGAGGCTGGAGTGGAACTTGGCTCTGGTTCCTTGAGTATCCCTGTGCCTTGAGTTTCTGGGGAGTGGCTTTGGTTCCKTTTGACTCCTGATTGTTCCAGCCTYTGGSAGTGGGTGTTGCTGTGTGTGCCCTGTGTGTCTGAGAGCCAGRCCAGGTCAGCTCTGCTGTGTGGGATTTGCTGCCTGTGTCTGGCCTGCACTGAGCTGCTGAAGTATCACTAACTCCTCTTTTCCTTCCCTTCCCCAAGGTCCCAGTGATCCCTGTRGTGTATTCCTCCTTCACCACCTTCTACAACCCAAAGACAAAGCTATTYACATCAGGTAACAAAGAGCCACTTGGCGACAGGGTTGGTGCTGTCCCGTGTGGAGATCTGGTTCACAAGGGTGTGGGAGGGGAGCAGAGCTGGGCTGAGCAGGAGGAGCCCCGCTGGGAGATGTTTGGAAGCAGTTCAAAGCACTTGGCACCAGACCCTGGGCTGGGTTAACTCAGGAAAGGTAGTAATTAAATATACTGAGGGATGTTTTCATTAAAAATTGGTTACCACCTCTCCTGCTCTGGGCAGGCTCTGGCTGGGATGGCAGTTTGGGGCACAGGGGGTTATTCTGGGTGGCACAGCTGTTGGAGCTGGGATCTAACTCTGCCTGTGCTCCAGGGATGGCTGCCTGAAGCCCTGGGAGGGGTTGAGGGCTGTCCAGGGTGGGCAGCAGGGCAGGGAACAAAGCTCCTGTGGCATGTGGGTTTCTCACAGTCTCCTCTCTTGTCCTCAGGCAAAATCAAGGTTGAGATTCTGCCTCCAATAGAGACCAAAGGGCTGACATCAGAYGATGTCACCGACCTCACTGACAGATGCTTCAACACCATGAGRGAGACCCTCTTCAGGCTGTCAGGCCGTCCAAGTGAGGCAAAGGACTCATCCTAGAGGCTGCTCCAGTGGTGTCACCGTGTGGTGGTGGCTGAAGGGACCTGTCTGTTCTTGCCAAATACTGAAGGAACTTCTTCTCCTCTGCAGTGATTTCTAACTCTGGGAACACCAYGGACTGGCACACACAGGGTGTCAAGCCAGCACTAAGGTTCCCCTTTGAGTGGATTTCTCTTATGGGTTCACTTTCTCACTTTGAAATGTCTCCTTTTTCTGAATTTCTCAGGCATCAAACTTGTGCTACCAAAGGGCTCAATGACCAGAGAGGTGAGCTCCCCCAGCTCTCGCAGCTGGCACAGGGTGACAGCAAAACCTGCCTGGAGCTCTGCCTCTTGTGACTGTCCCTGCACCTGTGTTCCTGCAGGCTCAGCTCGKGCTGGCCTGGCCCTGTGATGTCCCAGGTGGAAACCACCAGGCAGCAGTTTGTATCAGCACAACCTTGATGCTCAAGCAGGGCTGAGAACTGGGTGAAAATGCAGATTTTGGCTCTTCAGCAGCACTAGGAGTGTGGTGTCCTCCCTGGACAGCCCAGAGCRCTGCCACCCACCAGTGGGACTCACGGGCCTGTCCCCCTGAGATGCCCTTGTGTCACAACAGCATCATGTTGGGAAATCGCTGCCAGCTGCCTGCTGTGGTGGTGGCTCAGCCTGGTCACATCCCGGTGCCTGTGATGCCCCTTTCGGAGGCAAAGGGCTCTGTCGYGCTCGTTTTGTCACTTGTCATGGTCAGCTCTGGCCGAAAGATGGTGCCTGTCCCGCGTCTCTGCTGATCTGCAGGGCGGAGCTGCCGCTCTCCCAGGCCTGTAAAACCCCTGCAGAGCCACTGGGTGGGTGAGCTGCAGYTGGAAAGGGGCTGGGAAGGCTAGGAAGGCTTGGAAGGCTTCAGCTCCCTCTCTGGGATTACAGAAGCCCCTTTTCCAGTCAGATCAAAGGAGTTCCCCTCTGCTTTGGGGTGATGGACCAACAGAGCTCCTGGATCCCTCACCGGGAGCTGTGGAATGTTGATGCCCTCAGAGGCTGGGTCAGGTCCATGTTTCCTTTAGCTCTCCTGTTCCTGGCACAGGGGAGCTTGGGATGAGCCACCTTAGGCTACTCAGGTAACCAGCACACCCAGCTCTCACAGCCTGCATTGGTGGAGCTGTTTGTCCAGCATTTTGGGGCTAAAGCCTCGACTGGGAAAGGCAGGGAGGGAAAAGCACCCTCAACTGGTGCTGGCAGGGGGCTTTATTGGAGGGGCCTTACAGTACAGACTCAGGGGATGGGATGGGTCAGGGTGGGAGGATGGGAACCAAACCAGCACTTTGTGAGAGTGGCAGATAAAGGGCTGTCATGGAGGATCAACCCAGGAGGGCCYTGGGAGGGCTCCTGGGGAAGGGAACCATGTCTGACTCCTCCTGGGAGGAGGGAGTGGTGCCTCTATGTGCAGTTGTCTGCTGTTCACTTTTAATTGGGCTGAGAATGTTATGTGCTTTACAAAAAAAATAATATTACACCTTTGGTTATTTAAATAAAGGAGCCTCCTGGTCTTGTGTGGGGGCTGAGGGAGGAGGATGTGGGGTGCTGGGCCCTCGGCTCTTGCAGGGGGTGGGTTTGRTGATGGAGGGGCAGTGAGGATCCCTGTTCCCAGCATTCCTGGGGGAGGCTGATCCCCAAGAGCAGCACAGGAGCTGCAGGGATGGGTACCTGCTCCYRCCCCAGCCATGGCAGTACCTCTGTCCCTGCTGTGACACCTGGCCCAGGGCTGTCCCCACCTTCTCCATGTGACAGCAAGCACAGGGAGCCTGTGCCAGTGGCTCCCTGGGAGATGTCCCAGGGTAATGCCAGGGAAAGCCACACGTAGCTAAAAAGCACTCAGTTCACACCCAGGCAGTCTGGCACAGCCAGGCGCTCATGGCACGAGGTAAAACTTTTATTTGCTGCCTCTCCAGCAGGGAGAGGGCCCCGAGTCCAGTTTGGAAGGAACTGGGTGACCTCTCGTGAGGTGAGCTGGAAGAGAACGATGGAGATGCTGATGGGAACCTTGTCCTGCTGCCCCGTGCCTTCCTGTGGARGGTGTGGCTTCATCCCAGCCTGGGGCTGGAGAGGGAGATAAGAGCTGTGGATGCACTTGGCTTGCTCCAGGGCCTCAGGCACTCTGCTAGAGTTCGTTCTTGCAGGAACCTGGGTCGATGGGAAAAAAAAATTTCAGCAAAATAAATGCAGTCATTCGCCAGGATTTGCTTTGTCTCTTTCCCAGGCAGAATGAGCCCGACCTTAACCTCTGGGAATGTCACCCCTCTTTGCTGCTTTCCCTGTGCCAAACAACCCCAGGCTGGCTCTGTCCCCCCACACTCAGGAGTGTCACTCTCCCCTCCCTGGCGTGTCACAGTCCTTGCTGGGCCCTGTGCAGTGTCCCAAACCCAGGGACAGTAACAGTGACAATCTGTGCTGCACCTGGGGTAATTCAGACTTAGAGGGGCCAAAATGGTTATGGTTTAAAGAGCTGTGACCTGGTGCCTTTGCTGATGGTTTAAAAGAAGAAAAAAGAGGGTTTTTGGTCGCTGCACACACCCCCACTGAGCAGCTAATTGGGGAGTGYAGTTGTAGGGTGGCATTCAGCTGGGAAATGCTCCACCAGGCACAGAACATGGATGGCTGAGTAACTCCATGGGATTCCCTGCGAGCCCTGGGGCTTGCTGGAGTATGACAGGACAATTTTGTGTCCTACAGGGACTTGCAAGACCATGAAAAGAGACAAAAACAGGTTTTGCTTGCTGGAACAGACTTGACAGAAATTAATTTCAGGACTTTGGAGTCATCCCTTGGAATGAATCCATGTTACCTCGTGATGCTGCTCCCATTCCTCTGTGCTGTCACTAATAATATGTACAGGGCACTACTAGAAAACTCAGCCTCCTGGAACTCTCAGTGGTTCTGGTAATTACTCCTTTCTGGGATGGTTTTTAAGTGTCTGTTCACAGCTGCTTTGTCTTCAAACAAGTTCTTTGGATTCTTTTCTATCTAAGCCATTACTGCAGGCACTGAACTGGGACTGGATGTGCCCTGAACCAGTTTCTCCTGAGTCTTTCCAAGCCTCAGCAAGGTGTTCATGCACACCCCAGCCATGCTTGTGGAATTATTTAATGGGAAAATGAGCTGCAAAGAGCTGCCTATCAAAATGAAATGTTCACATGGCTGTGCTCTGCTTGGAGTCAAAGTGAGCACCACAGGGACCTGGGGGATGCTGTCCCTCCCTGKGGTGGGGACACCAGGCAGGACCCCCCATCCCCAGCCATTTCACACATGACAGCTCTCACTGGGGTCCCTTCCTCAGTTTGCTACTTCAGAGCCCCTCTCTGGTGCACTTACAGGTCTGTAGACTTCCAAAAAGGAACTCCTAAAACTTCCCAGGCTCGTAAATCTGCCAATTCCTGCACGCTCCCTGAACTTCTCTGATTGACTTTTTGGGCTGTTAATTCCTAAGAGCCGGGGGTTCTTTCCTAAGGATGGGTTASCAGGCAGGGACACAGCTGTGAGGTGCTGCCTGCCACACGTGGCTCCCCCTGCTCTGCCCCACAGCCACRCTCCCATGTGCCAATCCTACACTTTTTTGGCTGCTACACGGGCAGTCGGATGCTGCAGCCACAAAAACAGCTTTGAAATGAAGCTAATGGGCTGYTTGTGCTCATCCTTTATTAATTACAGGCTGCTGAGCTTGAGGCAGATCCAGATTAACAGTGGCATATGTGTTAGTGATCTCGCTGGCCCACATCTGCTCCCCGTGGCCAGGGTGGCTGGAGGGAGATCCTTCCACCCCGCTTTTTCCAGGCACTTACAGGTCTCCAGCCKCTCCTCCAGGAAGGAGATCTGCTCGCTCAGGGAGTCGATCCTGTCCAGCTGCTGCAGGGAGTGGGACAGGCGGCTGATGGGGTCTGCACCAACATCCTCCGGAGGCATGAGGTTGTGGAAGGGGGCCAGCACCAGCTGGAGCTTCTGCAGGGAGAAGGAGAGCTGTGAGAGTGTTCCCCCAGCAGCAGAACAACCTGGGGGGATTCAGTGCCCACCAGGCACGGCTCGAGGGGCTTTGGTTGTGTTCAAAGCTGGAAAAGCCACAGCGTGGGTGCTGCTGGCAGCAGGGAGCACAGCTGGGATGGTAAAAATAGAGCTGGGGCAGAGAGAAACCCTGGCTGCAAACAGCCCCGGGTGGGAGCTGGCTCAGCACGGCCCCGAGCAGGAACGGGAAAGGGGAATGTGCTGCGACTCACCTGYTCCAGCGCTTCCACTCTGCCCCTCAGCTCCTCCATTTCTTCCTTCATTTCACTGGAGGCACCTGGAAAAGCCACCAAGGGAATTTCAGTGAGTGAAGTGCCAAGGTGAGGGGGAAGCTGCTGGGCACAGAGACATCGCTGCAGGGCTCGGGCCAAGCTCTGCTGCTTCCCACTCCCCTCCCAGTGAGCCCCAGGGTCTGCTCTGCTGGGATCATCCCCCCAGACCTGCTGGCATCAAGAGCTCAGCCTGCTCCTGCTGCTGCAGCACCTGCAACAAAGCCGGGAGGGTTTCAGGATGAGAAATCAGTGGAGCCTGGCTTTGTGTGTCCGTGTTGCCAAAAAACGCCCAGGTCTGCCTTGTCCCGTGGTGGGCACCAGGGATTGTCCCCGCGGGGACAAAGGCAGGAGGTGCCCTGCTGTCACAGATGTTTGCTGTGTGATGCCCGTGCTGGCCACAGCGCATTATTACTCACGGTACGAGTTTGAAGTGTCACAGCGCGTACCAAAAGTAATAATGGACTGTCACCAGCGGCGCCCGCCGCTCCTCCAGGCGCTGCCCCTGCGGGAAGGACGATGATGATGATGGAGAGAACAGACACATCGCAGACACCTCCAGGCACCTCCTCACAGATGGGTTTGTGTGCAGAGGAAGTTGTTTGGGTGGGAGAAGGGCTCCTGGGTCAGCCGGAATAAATCTGAGAGGCTCTGGCTGTTGTCCCCTCTCCTGTCTCCTGGTCCTGCTCCATCCCGTGATGCTGAGTGTCACCCCAGCTGTCACTGAAGGAGCAGCAGCTGGGGCTCAGTGTGGGGCCRGGTTACCTGTGGGGCTGGAGGGGTCTGTCCCAGGCGCTGGCACCGGGGGCTGGCAGTCCTTGTGGTCGGCAGCCAGGCTGAARCCGTCCTGGCAGGCACAGTGGAAGCTCCCGGCTGTGTTGACGCAGAGCTGGCTGCACCCGTGGCTCTGGCTGGCACATTCATCCACGTCTGCAACACGGGAATGGTTTAGTGAGGAGGGGGACAGGGTGAGGGGCACAGGGGGGATGCAGTGGAACCCCAGTGAGTGCCTCAGTGTTTTCACCGGGCACAGCTCTGGCTGTCTCAGCACCAGCAGTGCCCAGGACAGGCCTGGATAAACCTGGGCTGAGCTGGAGAGGGTCTGACCTCCTCTCCTCCTCCTGCTCCCCCACAACACAGCCAGCAGCAAAAGCTGTGTCAGAACCCCCAGCTCTGGCCAGGAGGGCATGRGCAGCATGCCTCATCCCAGATTTAGGGCCGGGGTTTTGGTTCCAGCCAGCTGCGGGGAGGAGCTATCAGCCTTTCAAGTGTGTACAAAACCCTGTAACCTCTCCTCACACGGGGGAGTTGTTAAAGCTGTTCCCACAAWGCAGAAGGAGCCGCAGCGCTTCCCACGCCCGGGAGAATCTGTTTTAGGCACTGGGAAAATCCTCTCCCCCTGCCAGAGCTGTCAGCGATGGGCTCAGCCCTGCCTGGCCCAGCATGGGTCAGTGCCACACGCTCCTCCTCTGCCCTACAGGATGGTGGAAAGCTGGGAAAAGCCAGGGTGGGTTTTTTTTGCCTGATTTCCCTGTGCTTTGAGGAGCATTGGGCTGTTTCTCTGTGCAGAGGAGCCTGGAGATCACCAGGCTTCCCCTCCACCCACGGATATTTTGGTTTATGGGTTTTTAATCTCTGCAGYAAATGGGTGGTTGAGTTTACAGCAGGAGTTTACAAAGGCTGAGAGGGATCACGGGGAACACATGATCTCAGGCCAGCCCCACAAGGGTTTGTGCTGTGGGGAGGATTTACTGGTGTGCTCACAGCTCTGCTCACACAGCACAGAGGGAAAATTGGGGTGCCAAAGCTGCACAGGAGGGCTGGGGGCATTGAGACAGCCAAAAAGAGCTCAGAACTCCCCCTGGAGTTCTGCCCATCCTTTCCTGGATCAGGGCCTGAAGCATGGCCCAAAGTTGTGGGGTTGGTGTAGGACAAAGGACATCCAGAGCCCCACGGCAGCTCACGTGCTCCCAGGAGGAGCTCTCCCAGCAGCAGCAGGGCAGGTGTGACACAGGGAGCGAGCAGAGGGGTGACATGGCCAGTACCTGTCTGGCAGGATGGCCCTGTCCAGCCGGGGGGACAGGAGCATCTCCCGGGGAAGGCGCAGGTGCCTCCGTTCTGGCACGGCTCCCAGCAGAGAGCTGTGAGAGGAAACACCAGCACAGCGTCACCAGCAGCTCTGGGGGGCCCCAGATCCCTCCCTGGATGGATGGGTGCAACCCCAAAACACACCAGCACAGCATCACCCAGCAGCTCTGGGGGTCCCCAGATCCCTCCCTGGATGGATGCACACCCCAAAACACCCCAGAACAGCGTCACCAGCAGCTCTGGGGGTCCCCAGCTCCCTCCTTCCCAGCCTGGATGGATGCACACCCCAAAACACACCAGCACAATGTCACCCAGCAGCTCTGGGCATCCCCAGCTCCCTCCCTCCCCTCTGGATGGGTGCAACCCCAAAACAGCCCAGCACAGCATCACCCAGCAGCTCCAGGGGTCCCCAACTCCCTCCCTGGATGGAGGCACATCCCAAAACACACCAGCACAGCATCACTCAACAGCTCTGGGGGTCCCCAGCTCCCTTCCTCCCTCTCTGGATGGATGCACACCCCAAAACACACCAGCACCCCATATTGGAGTCACATTGCCCAGGGTGAACAGGGCACAGGACGGCTGCAAGGAAGAGGACCGTGGGTTTGCAGCCTGGAAAGAGGCTGAGGGGCTTGCAGGCAGCAAAAATGGGAAGGAGGAGGGGAACACACAGCAGCAGCCCACGGTGCCATGCTCTGAGCTCCTCTGGGGACAGCCTGGCTGCAGCTGGGGTTTGCATTTGCTGCCTCCTGAAAGCATCTCTTATCCCTTCCTGCTGATTCAGATTGAAAGGACTTACTCGTTTTAATTATCCTCGGGTAACTATAAAGGTAATAAGTCATCCCAAAGGAAAAAGGCCCAAGAGGCAGCAGGGGAAAGATGRGAATTAATCAGGTATTGAAGCGCTTTTGGCTGTGATGCTGAAAATGTAAATGCATTCCTAGAAGGAGGAGAATCCACCTGACAGGCAGAGGGTTGGTAGAGGAGAAATGTGGTGCTGGGGCCTCCTCCAGGGACACGGGGGGTCTGGGGACAGGCAGTGGCTCGGGGGTGACCCAGCAGCTCCTCACCTCTGGTACAGCCCAGTCCAGGGCTGTTTGCTCTGCTCCAGCCRGGGCAGCACGGGGCTGTGGGCTCGGGCAGCTGCCTGTACCTCTGCCTGTAGGCAACCTTGTAGATGGTCCTGCGAGGCAAAGATGGGGTCAGCTGGGTGCCCCAACCCYATCCTGATCCCACARCGGCTCAGGGAKCTCYTRGGRWYCRGRATCCYCMWCYCTGYRGATCCCMCAGYRGCTCAGRGRSCTYYYAGGGRYCAGGATCCCMMTCCCTGYAGATCCCACAGCAGCTCWGGGAGYTCYTAGGGRYCAGGAYCCCCCWCCCTGTGCATCCCACAATGGCTCAGGGAGCTCCCAGGGGCCAGGATCCCTCTCTCTGCAGATTACCCAGCAGCTCAGGGAGCTCTTGGGAGCCGGGATCCCCCTCCCTGGGGATCCCACAATGGCTCAGGGCATTCCCAGGGGCAGGAATCCTCCCTGCGGATCCCACAGCAACTCAGGGAGTTCTCAGGGGCCAGAATCTTCATCCCTGGGGATCCCACARCAGCTCAGGGGGCTCCCAGGGGCCAGGATCCTCATCCCTGTAGATGCCCCATGGGCTCAGGATGCTCCCAGGGGCCGGGATCTCCCTCCCTGCAGATCCCACAGTGGCTCAGGGAGCTCCCAAGGGCCAGGATCCCCATCCCTGTGGATTCCCCAGCAGCTCAGAGAGCACCCAGAGGCCGGGATCCCCATCCCTGCAGATCTCCCAGTGGCTCAGGGATGCTCCCAAGGGCCAGGATCCCCATCTCTGCAGGTCCCACAATGGCTCAGGATGCTCCCAGGGGCCGGGATCCCCCTCCCTGCGTGTCCAGCAGGCTCCCCATGCAGGTGGCCTCACCTGTAGGTGCTGCAGAGGCGCTGGCCCTGGCAGGTGGTGAGGTAGGGCTGGTACACGGGCTGCACGTGGGACTCGGTGTGGGCGCTCTGCCGGCTCCGCGGCCCCGCAGCACACACCCTGCGGCTGAACACACAGAGGTCAGTCCAATCCCTGCCACCAGGACACGGCCTGACCGCCCCTCCCTGCCCAGGGCTGCCCCAGTGACCCAGGGAGCCACCTCAAACAGTTTCAGGTCAATGACACAACTCTGGAGCACTATGAGAGGCGCAGGGTTTTCCTCCCAGGAAAACAAGATTTCCTCCCAGAACCCAGATTTAGGGATGAATTACTCATTCCATTCGTTGTCTCCCTTCCCCTAAAACCACTCACTTTCTGGGTGGATTTTCCTTTTTGCATTCCTAACACGGATGCCCCTGTGGTCACCAAGAAATTAATGACTTCACAGGAAGCGTCCGGCTCACCGCAAAAAAAAAAAATAGAGGTTGGATAAAAGGCACTCCCCAGCYTTCCTAAGATAACTGTTATCCAGGCAAAAACTTTCCCAAGGTTAACAGCCAAAGTGGTCTTGTTTAAACATCCTTTTTTTCCAACGATTTCCAGCCCAGGCAGGTCAGTCCCACTGAGGAACCCATCTACTTGTCTCAGCCTCCCAGCTCAATTAGAAACTAAAATAAAGAGCCTGGGAATTCGTATGGACATCAGATGGCTTCCATTAACTCCAGCAAACTCCTCTCAGCCTCGTGATTAATGCTATAGAAGATGCAGTTTTTAAATGGCAATTGTTTGCTTTGTAAAATTTAGAATAAAGTTTTAGCTGCGGCCTGTGCGTGAGAGCGAGGAATCCGGCTGTGGTTTCAGTCCTGGACAGAACGTGAAAGGTTTGATGCTGGAGGAGCATTTCAGTGTAAAAACAAACTTTGTAGAAAATGTGAGCTGGGTTTGGGAGTGGGATTGGAGCTCCAGCTCCTCTCGGCTGCGGGAGTAACTGGGGCACCCAGCTCTGGGTTTCCTCGGAGCTGTGCTGGCATCCAGAACATTCTCCCAGCACGGGAAGGGATTTGCTGGACCACAGCAGCACCCTGGGGAGCGCAGAGCACAGCTCTCCACACCTGTGTCCCTGGGTGTCCTTCAGAGCTGGGAGCTGCATCCTCCTCTGAATGGAAAAACCTCACCCTCCTTCACCCATGACAGCTCGTTCGCAARGCTTGATTTGTGTGACAGCAACATTTCACACATTTTTACCAAGGATGTGCTTGAAAGAGGCAATAATAATTCCTCAACAGCTCAGGGCCTGATGAGCTTTTGACTCTCCCAGACAAAAAGCCCAGAGTGTCCCTGCTGCAGGGAGCTGGGACATTTCYTCTGAGAGATGTTTTCTCTTGGGTGACAAAGAGCCAGCAAAGGGCTGGAGAGCCTTTGCCACMTCCCTGCCAGCCCAGAGAGCCACCCAGGCTGCTCCTCCCCGGGGAGGATGGATGGTGAGAGATGCAGACAAACAGGACCTTACCCCGTGCGGGTGAAGCTCTCGGTGCCGGCGGTGAGGATGAGGAGGATGCTCCAGAGGAGGAAGCCGCGGCTCCGCATGTCCCGTCCTTCCCGTGGCACCGCCGTGTCCCTCTCTCCGTGGGTTCTGCCGGCTCCTACTGCATGGCTCGCCCTTCAGAAGGGGTCCCTGCAGCCAGGAGAGCTTTGTGAGCTCCAGGTGTCCCCTCCCCAGCTGGTGACATCTGACAGAGCCACGGGGACAAAGCCCCGGCGAGCTGGGAGCTGCTCCAGGCACAAACCCACCCTGGCTGGGCTCATCACTGTGACACCACAATAATTCAGGAATTATTRCAGATTGACCCCGGGGAGGCCTGGAGATGCTCTCAGGGCAGCAGGGGCCGCAGTTCTGCGTTGAGGGGCAGGGAAGGGATGTGTGTTCCCTGAAATTTGCCGCCAGTTCCAGGCAGCGAGGGCAAAACAATGGCCCGTCATGTCTTAATGCACACAGCATTGTAAAGCTGCGTTTTCCCACCACATAACGCACTGAAATCTGATCTTCTCCCCTTTAAAATACAAATTCGTGACAGAGAAAAGTGCTGTGAGGGCCATGTGTACCATCTGCAGCGTCGGTTCTGAGGCACAAACCGGGAGGTTTTTGATTTCCTAGCACAGGACAAATACAAAACTTCAAGGCTGRAGAGGGTCAGTAACAATATCTAATTCAAACAATAACTCATCTAAACAAACCACTCGGCCTCCGGATGGCAGCAGCTGAAGGAGGAAGAAATAAAGAAACCCACCTTAAATATGCACCCATTAAAGAAAGAATCAGCCATTCTGATTAAACTTTCAGAAAAGAGAGGCAACACAACAAGAAACCTCCTTCTGAGGCTGCAAATACGATTAGCTGAAAATCAACTTTCCAAAATCCCCAAGTGCAGTAGGGTGGGATTGGACTGGAAAGTTGCAGGTTGATTCCCAAGCACCATTGGGATAAATCCCAACTCTGAGATAAGTTTTTACAAATAATCATGGCAAATCTGCAGACCCTGCAGATCTCCAAGCCCTTCTCCGAGGCACTCAGGGYTGTCTTTTTCTCAGGGAAGAATCTGAGGCAGGGAGAGATGGAGATTCACATCTGGAGAGAAACCAGCCCGGTGCCTTCCTGCCCCTTTAATATCAAATATCAAATACCAAATATTAAATATCCCAGCGTATTTCCATGCAAACCCAGCCCCGAGGATGTAAGAAGGATTTTGGTGCTTTAAAGCTTCTAGTCCTCCATTTTCCTTCAAACATAGCAATTAGTTCAATTTCCTAATGATTAATTTACAGTATCTCCACAATCAGGAAAGCAAATCTTACTCATCCTGCAGGAAAGTTTTTTTTAAAAAAATAATGAAGAATCTTTCCCTCTCCCCAACCCTCCTGGAGACATTCCAAGGACTCTGATGCAGACACACAGCAGCTCCCCTTTGCTCCATCAGCCAGCTTTTCCCAGGGCTAAACTGGGACACAGAATTTCCCTACAACCCCAGATCCCCGGGCTCTCAGTGCTGCTGCAGAGGGCTGGAATCAAACCCTGCCAACCATCTCCATCCTCCCACGGGATTCCTACGGCTGCCATGGGAGATTTTGCTGTGGGGACAGCAAGAAACACAGGGCAGGAGCCTAAAATACAGTTTGTTTTTTTCATTTGGAACTGGAGCAGCACTGCCCTACCTCGAGCAGTCAGAGGATCCCTCTGGGTCATAAAATTATGATCGCTTCATACCAGAAAGAGCTGTAWAAGTAGAAAATATGATGGTCTAGACTTGTCTTTTTTATGAGTTAGTGAAAATCAACCCCCTTTAAAGACCCTCCAACCTGTTGCCACCACCTATTCTATCCTTTTTTAAAGCACAGAACTAAAGAAAAGAGGTTTTTTTCAGGCATAAGAAAAAACAAATGCTTTTTTTTTTTTCTTTTTCATTGCCTTTCAAGCCACTCAAATGAAGAGGTGAAACCCCATGGTCTGGCAAATGAAATTATGTCTGAGGGGTCAGCAAAGCCTCCTTGGCTGCGTCTGCAAGTTTCGAGTCCCTCTCCCGCCAGCCAGAACCATTCCCAAATTTCTCTTAGGTCTGTTCTTGCCTCACCTGCCGCAACAACCGAGGGGGGCAGGTGAGCAGCACTTTGCCCAGCTCTGCCCGCGGAACCGAGATTAAAACTGCGGCTGACGGCAGCAGGAGGAATCGTGCTCGGGCTGCAAAGGGATGAGGGAATCCAGCCCCTCCCGGGACCACACTTCTCCAGACAGCCTGGCCTGGTTCTGCAGGTGAAACCGCGGCTCCAAACCGGGCTTGTGCACGCTCAAAACCTCCCGGAGCGGGTCAGCACCAACCGCGGGGGGATGGATTCGCCCTGCGCAGGCTGGGATGCGGCACCGCGGGGAGCGGGSGGGATGGAGCGGGACTGGGGCACGGCGACACCGCGGAGAGGGCTGTGACACTGTCCGGAGGGACACGGGGGCTGCAGGGACACCGGAACCGTGCAGGGGCTGCAGGGAGCCGGTACCGGAGGGGCTGCGGGGATGGGGGTGTCCCGGGTGTCTCGGAGGACACGAATGTCCCAGGAAACTGTATGGACACGGGTGTCCCGGGGGGCTGTAGGGATGCGAATATCCCGGGGGGCTGTAGGGACACGGGTGTCCCTGGGGCTATAGTGGCACGGGCGTCTCGGGGGGCTGTAAGGACGCGGGTGTCCCGGGGGCTGTAGAGATGCGAATATCCCGGGGGGCTGTAGGAACATGGGTGTCCCGGGGGGCTGTAGGGATGCGGGTGTGCCGGGGGCTGCACAAACACGGGAGTCCCGGGGATGCTCCCCACGGCCGCAGCAGCCCGATCCCCGCTCTCCCGGCGCTGTACCCGGGACAGGCGGAGCCCTCTCGCCGGCCCAGGGGCCCCCTATCCCCGGCCGCCCCCGCGCTGCGGTACCGAGCCCCGCTCCGCCGCCACCCCCGTCCCCCGCCCGTGGCCGCCGGGGAATGCGGCCGAGCCCCTCCGGCCGTGCCGAGCCCCTCCGGCCGTTCAGAGCTCCCCGGCCGTGCCGAGCCCCTCCGGCCGTGCCGAGCCCCGGGCGGCGCCCGCCGGGACTCACCGGTGGCGGTGGCGGAGCCGCGGAGTCGCCGCCGCTCCCGGCCCCCCGCGCATTTCCTCCCCCGGCCCGAGCCGGTCCCTCCGCCCCGGCCCAATGAGCTCCCGGCTCCCGGGGAGGAAAGCGGAGCCTCCCGGCCGGGGGGAAGCGCCGGGGCCCGGGGATCTCCGCCTGCCCCCGCCCCGCCGGCCCCCGCCGGCCGCCACCTGCCCCCGGTTCCCCGGGACGCGAGCGGGGACCGGGCAGCGCCGCCGGAGCGGTGGGATCCCGCGGGGGAATCGTGCGGGGACAGGGCGAGACCCCCGAGAAACCCACCCGGGGTGAGGGACGCGCTGCTGTTATATCCCAAATGTTGTGGCTGCCCCYGATGGAGTCGGGATTGTGGGGGACCCCGCTCTGGCTGGGTGTGGAGCCTTACCTGGATGAGGATGAGCCCCCAGCCCCGCCAGCCCGGCCCCATGTGCCCCACAGTGCGAGGACACGCGGTSCCTGGGCCCCCCGATGGCCCGGCCCTCCTGGGTGGGCAGGGGATTAGCATGGAGAGATCCCGGCACAGCCCCGGCCCACGGGTGTTCAGCCTCCCCGGGAGAACGGTCCATCACCAGCGCGGGGCCGCGGCTAATTTAATTCTTTTTACTAAAAATTACTGTCCAGAACCGCACCAGCGCCCACCACGAGCACAGAGGATTTTAGAACACATCCTCTCTCTCCAGGTTAGAGACCCGCTCCAGAGCCTCCCGCCGCGTCCCGTTAATGCCCCTGAGCTCATTCCAACAGCAAAATCCTGCAGGAGCCGGTGATGAACCACCAGGCTTCCAGGGAGCCCTAAAGGATGCTCAGAGAATTCCTTGGAAGCCCCCCCAGCTGCGGAGACCCCGAGAGACTCTCCAGGGTGACACCCAGGGCTCGGCTCTGTTTGCCGGACACCTGCCCGAGCCCAGCTGCCCACAGGCTTCTCCTCTTAAACGCCCAGTTATTTATCAAAGCAGCTCTTTTTTTGTGCCAAATTGCCACTTGTTTTGTCTACATTTTTGTCTGGAAAATTAGAACACAGAGGGTTATTGTTTTTGAAGTGACTTAGGCGCCTGCCCATGCACAGAACCATTCTTAAAGATAGCAGGGATCTGATGTGCAAATGAATGGCAGGATACAGCCCCCTGGGAATATTTGTTCCCATTAAGCTCGGCAAATTTTTTTGAAAGYGTGTAAGCATTTAAAGGAAATATTTACCAGTTAAACAATAATGGCTCCAAGAGAACAACTGAGATCACTGGCCCATCCCCTCCGTTTCCTCAGGGATGGAATTGGAGCTGTCTCAGGCCGTGTCTGATGGGTGCTTGGGGCTCTGAGGTGTAAAAGAGCTTTGGTGGGATCCTCCCTGAGGAAGGGAGCAGAGGGGAATCCTCTCTGGGAAATGCTGGTGGAGATGGAGATCCATTCCCAGCAAGGAGAGGCTTGGTGGTGCTCCCTGTCACATAGCTCCTCACACGGGTCTATCACCCTCTGGACCCACCCCAACCTCTGGGAATGAACTCAGCTCCCTCAATTTCATAAGCACAGGCATCTTCTCCCAAGAGCCTCAGAGGGACAGTAATTATCTTGTTATTTGGAGAGTGTTACCGGGCTTTTTCTGGAGTATGGGGGAGATGAACAGAGCCTGAATTATTGTCTAATAATTGCAAAATGCGCGTGGGAGTTRAATTTTCTCAGTGTGGCCATACTGAAAGCACAGGATCTCATTYTGCTGCTGAGACACTCACCTGATCCACGGGGCTCCATCAGCTGTCCTGGGCAGGGATCCTTTCCTTGAGGAGCAKCTTGGTTTCTTTCTGCCAGGATGGAAGAAGCCCAGAGTTACACTCCCTTTGCCCAGAGCAGTGACCCAGCCCTTGCCCATGATGGATTTGGTGTCCCCTGGACACTCCCAAAAATCCCTGCAGAGTGGGGTGGAGGATGAGAGCAGGATCGTGGTCACAGAGCCCCCGTGGCACTGAGCTCACTCTGCTGCTGTCCCAGCGAGGCACAGACACTGTCACAGCACTGCAGGGAACAGGGACCTCCATCCCCATCCCACAGTGGGTGTTTTAGGGTATCCTACAGTCCTGATCCTCCTGATCACGGTGGGAATGAATCCAGGCGGACCCACAGTGCCTTTGCCCCATTCAGGGCTGTGCAAACCAGGGGATGAGCTGCTCTGCTCAGCCCCATTTCCACCCAACACAGCACCAGGGCTTTGCTGGACAGGATTTATCCCCTCCAGCAGTTTTCCCAGTGCTCAAGGGTGGGATATTCCAAGAACCAAAGAGCACAGGGCCCCCCAGCACACTCTCCGAAGTGTACCCTCTCTGATTTGTGATCCTATCTGCTGTTCCCCAACACTGCATTTCACCATTTACCCTTTTTTAAGGACAAACATCCCTAACTGTCCAGGAAACATTTGCACGGATCCCTGAGATCCCGTGTGTGAATTTGATGGTGAGGAAGAGGATGGACTCCTCCTTCAGCTCCTCACAGGACACCACCACCCAGCACAGGACCGAGCACGCTCCTTCCAGGCACTCACTGGAGCCTTCCCAGCCATAACCGAGCATTTTAAAATTCTGCCAGTATTTTAATTACAAAATGTTTCCTTTCCACTTCCATTTACTGGGTCAAATCTTTGCTCGAGCAAGTGTCCGTGTCAGCTGCTAAAGAGCTGCATACAGCCAATAAAAGAGCATTCAATCCTCACTCTCGGGAGGGTTTTATGTCTTATGTGCTAATATTCATTATGTTGAGAGGGAAATCCCCCAGGACAAGGCCTGGCAGAGCTCCCCTGGAAGCAGAGGAGTTCTGCCAGTTGGGAGTGGGGGAAGATCAGATCTGCTGGCGCTGTTTCTGTCAGTGTGATGAGCTCCTGACAGAGGCAGCAGGGCATTTTGGCTCCTGAATTCCAAGTCCTCCCTTGCCCGATGTTTTACATTTTTCCCCCACATCTTTCTCCCTTGCACACCAGAAYCGTACTCCCACGACATCTAATATTAATGCTTGTCTCCAGGCCAGGAGAGAAATGTTTCTGCCCAGCCTCCCTCTTAGATTTAACAATGCCAAAATCTCTGTGTCTCCCACTGCTTTTACCACCAGTGGGAGGGATGGTGAGTGCTGGCCCGGAGCARGGCTCAGGTTGAACACCAGGATAGTGTGGAGGTGAGATTTTCACCCATTTCCTACAGAGCTGCCAACCCCATGCACCTGCCAGGCTCTGATATTGCCCTGAGAGCACCCACGGTGGATTGAGGAGCTGAGGGRTTGGAAAAGCTTGGAAAAGTTTGATAGAGCTTGGATTGGAAAAGYTTCCCTGTTTGGTACTTGGAGGGTGTGAATCTGGGGTGGAGAACACAAAAAGGATTAACAGAGGAGAATTAACAGATCAGAGCTAAAGTCCCACATCAGGAACATGCTCTTATGAGAGAACTTCCAGCCACCACAGAAAATGGGACGTGCCCAGGCCCACGAGGGGCTGGAGGTGCTGAGGTGACAAATGGACGGGGACACGGGCAGGACAGAGGTGACAAATGGATGGGGACACGAGCAGGACAGTGACACACATACAGATGCAAAACCTTTCAGCTCCCCCACGCCRTGGCTGACCCCATACCTGCAGCACACAATGGGCTCTCGCTGTCCTCCACRGGGGTCTGGCACAGAACTGCCAGCACTTGCTAAAGCAAAGGGAATTTTTGGTGCTTCTCAAAGGCAAAAAAAAAAAAGGAAAAGAAGAGAAGAGGAATGGCTTTTGCTGTTCTAGGACAAATTCTTCTGCTCGGGCTTTTCACGAGGCTGTTTGTAAACTTTACGCGTCAGTTTGAGCAGCCCCTGTGAGGAAAATTCCCTCCCCCTATTCTGCTCTGTCCCATATTGTTCTGAGCTGCGTCAGCTGCACACCAGTTATCTCAGTGGAAATCTAGAGGAGTCCACTGATGGCAGCGGGATAAAACCGGGTCAAACCAAGAAAAAGGACTTGATCCATAACTCTGGCTCTGTCGTCACCAGTGGCTCGGGACTCTGCATATTAAAACTGAGACCTGAGCCCCACAAAGTGATTTTGTTTTGGCCTGAGTAAGGGCTTCACAAGGATTAATTGTCTCAGGACCAGTGTGTTATAACTTAAGGTGCCCACGGGGACAACCAGCAGCTGAGCTGTGCAAAAACAAGTGCAGGAACAAGGCTCCATCCCATATCCAGCTTGGATTTTTATTTGCATTTAAAGGAGGCAGCAATGGCTGCAGCGTAAAAACTGGGAAATGATTCATCCTACCCAGGAATAAACTAAATTCTGCAGCTTCCTGTGAAATTTCCCTGGCAAAACGTGGCAGTGATCCCCCACCCCATTCTCCCAGTGAATCCCATGGGAAGTGTGGTGGGGTAACTGGGAGCTGCAGGATGGCTCCATCCCCTCACCGTGGCCATCCCAGGGAGCAGTTTAGCAGAGAGCCTTTCACACAAAATTTTTTTGCTCTGGTTATCTTTCACACAAGAAATTTTTTCTTTCACACAAGAAATTTTCGCTCTGGTTATCTTTCATTTCCAGGAGGAAATCTCCATCTCCAGGAGGCTGCCCTAAGCACAGCTCCCCTTTGCCATCGCCTCCCAGGCTGTGGGCAGGATGGGGATCCAGGCTCTCACTTCGGGAGAGAGGAGACAATCATTCTGATCACCCCCTTCTCTTTGCACAGACACTTTTGTTTCCCTGCCTGGCCTGGGAKCTGCTCCCGGGTGTTCCTCCCAGCCCTCCTGCTGCTGCTGGGACTCGGGGCAGGCTCGTTTACCCCAATTTGCTGCAGTTTGTAAATCTGCCTCCCCGGGGCCAGCCCCATCTGCAGCRGCAGAGCCTGGGAAAGGGCTCCAAGCAGCCTCCAGACCAGATTCAATTTCTCTTCCTTACCTCCAGGGAAACTTGGGAGGGCTGCTGGTGGAGCAGGAGAGAGGGGGGAGCAGCTCCGTCGACAGATCACAGAGAAAAAAGTGACAATCTGCCGTGTTTCCCACTGCTGCCCAGAGGTGAGGGGGATTTTGAGGATGCTCCAGCCACAACAGCCTTCCACAGCCTCCCATGCACTGCCAGACCTTCCCAAACCAGCTTGAAATCAATTTAACCACTGGCAAAACCTTGTTGTTTCTTTCTATGTTTGATTCTCTGCTCAGGGAACTAATTCCACGTATGTTAGACCCTGAGGAAAAAAAAACTTCTAGGTTATTTCTACCAGGAGCCGTTCGCTGGTGCGGTTCTGTTCCGTATTCCTGCACAGACAGAGAGTGCCTGGGTATCCCAGCTGTTCCTTYATCCCAAAATTCCCTCCGTGAATTTTATCCCAAAATTCCCTCAGTGCCTCACTGAAAGCCTCCTGCCCGCACTGTGTAATGTCACAGATGAGGAGCCACAGGGAGCTGAAAACAGCATGAAAATTACCCAGCTCTGAGGTTTTAAACCTGGAGGATTTGCTGAGCTCCCGATGCACACCCAGCGTGATCCAGGCTCGGCTGCTGATCGGGATAAACCCCGGGGAAAGAGCCAGGACAGTCCCTGTCCACCCCCCTGTCCTGCCCCACATCCCACCCGGCTCTGGGGCTGAATTTCGCTGAATTGAGGAGAGCAGAGGGCAGGGAGCACAKGGGGGAGGATGGACAGCGCGGTGATGTATCAGAGGTGTCCAGAGAGCCGGCGGAGCAAAGGGAGGGAGCCACAGAAACAAAAGAGATTAGCGAAGAATTTCCAGATATCTCACAGGAATGCGCGCAAGTGCTCGCAGCCTCTACGCTCACAGGAGGTAAAATTTGGTGTGCTCAGAGCAAAACCGCGCTGGAGATGCTCCTCAGCACGTGGCTGACAKCGGATCCAGCCTGGTGGGGAGCAGKGGAGGCTGCCTCACATCCCTGAGYGTTCCCRGGGATCMCAGGGATGCTTCACACCCCTCCAAGGGATGCTTTACACCCCTTTTCTCTCCGTGCTGGGTGTTCAACCATCCCCAAGGCTCCCACCATCACGAGCGGGGTCAAAACCCACTCAGGGCTGGCAAGGACACGTTCCCACTGTCATCTCCGCATCCCATCCCATCCCATCCCACCCACCCCATCCCATCCCTGCTGTGTCTCTGTGGTACCTTGGGTGCCCCGCCGTCCCCCGCCGTGCCGGGAGCAGCCCCGTTGGCTCCCGGTGGCCATCCCAGCCCGGCCACCCCCGGCTCCGGTGGCCCCGGGCACCCTGGCGGTGGCCCCGGCATGGCCGGCCGCCGGCCGCGCACAGGCAGGAGGTGGCTGCCGAGGTGGAAGGGCGGCTTTTTATGCTTTTCTTCCTGTATAAATCAGGCCGGGGATGGACAATCCCAGACAGGACTTCCTGTGTGTGTTGTGAGCTGATAACGGGCGCCGCGAGGAGAACAAACACGGCCGCCCCGAGGGGGAGAGGGGCCACGGGGCGGGACCCCCACACCGAGCCCACCGGGGATGGACACGGAGAGGAGGCAGCCACGAGTCCCTGGGGACACGGGGAGGGACAGGGMTGCCTGCCCGGGCTCCCTGCAGAGCCTCGCACCAGGCCTGGGATGGGTGGGACCCTCCCGCCTCGCTTTTGGCACATTTYGGCAGCTCCCATCGCAGCCACCTCTCATTTCCCCTCGAAAGGTGACACTGGGGACCCTCACAGCGCCAGGGACCTGTGGCAAGCACGGCAGGGCTGGTGGCCACCTCCTCCTCGAGAGGGGCCATGTTGGTGTTGGCCACCAGTGGAGCACCCTGGGCTATTTGTGATGCCCTGAAATTTGGGTTATGAGGCTGTGCTCGGTCAGGTTGTTGTCACTGATGTCACACCCTGACAACGGTGATCTCCTCAGGKCYRRGCAGCAGGGAAGTGCAGAAACARCTGCCCTGATGCCCTGATTTTCAAGACTTTTCTGGCACAAAACTGATTGTGATTTCTGCTTTAACCCATGTGGGTTGTTTCTGGGCAAACAAAGGAAGGACAAGAGTTTTCAATGGGATTTTGGAGCTTCGATCCAGACTGAGAGAGGAAACATTTTGGAGCACGAGAGAGGTGGCCATAGCAATTATTTCTTGACTCTGCAGACCCCCACGGCATTCTGTGGGTTCTGCTCCTGTCCCTGTGGTGTRCCTGGTGTGGATTTAGGGCCACGTGCCACCTGGGGCCCCCCGGAGCAGAGCCGTGTCCCCAGCTCGTGCGCAGGATCACAAGGAGCATGGAATTGCTCCCAYCCAATTCACAGAACAGTGCTCTGGGCAAATCCCCCGGGAGCGGTAAAATATTCCTGTGTTTATTTATATAAACGCACGGCTAAAGAAAGCCCCCTCTTGTTTTGCTTGGCAGGC